TTTTTTTTTTTTCATGATTATTATTTGTACATTAATTAAAGTTATAAGTTGACAATCAATTGATTTAAACTATATACACATATTTATAATTAAATTTTATACAATAATGTTATGAATTTACATTAAATTTACAAGTCTTGCGGTTTCATAGAATCTGTAAATGGTCTCACAACAATTGTATTAGTCTAATAGTCAATTTTTGTCCTAGTTGCCAAATTCACTAATTCATAGACCTATTTTCGCTTATAAATAATTATATGAATGTAATATTTATGAAATAAATAGCTATATATTGATAATCAAAATTGTTCTTCAAATGAACAATATAGTAGGATACTTAAAATAATCTAAGTGAATTAAACTTTCATGATTATGTTAGTAGAAACATGTCACAACTTTGAAAATTTAGTCTGCAGACCTACAATAAAAATGTTTTTATCACAAACCAAATAGTGTTGCTTTTAAACTCTCATTGGCAATAAGTATTTTTTTATTTAATTTTTTAAGAAAACATTATAAGTATATACTTATAAAGAATATATTCTTCGTTTTTTTTTTTTAATTTTTATATTATAAGAATATAAGGTTAGGCATAGGTTTTATCGATGTGCGGGTAAACGTTCAATAAATGAACGAATCATGAAACAGTGTGTCCGATATATTGCATGAAACGAACGAACGAACGTATGAACGATATCTATTTTTTTTGCGATCCGGATCAACTCGTTCACTGATATGACCCGTTCAAAAAGATACGTTCGTTCGTGAACGACCCATCACTAGAGCCAACCCCAAATAGTTGGAATAGAGGCCGAGATGATGATAAGTAATTCAAGAATCTAATACTCTTGAATAAAAATTTTTTGTTTATTTCAAATACAGATTACTGAAGTAATATTTTTTTTTAATTAGAGAGGCTTGAGTGAGTTATTAAAAAGACACCACTCGATTTAGATCCTGGAAAACATGTTCGTTTAGAATGTTGGTAGAAGTTTAAAACGTATGCTCTAAGTTGTGTAAAAAACTATATAACTTCATGGTAATTTTAATATTTTTATGCCTCAACTCGAATTAATTTTAGACTATAATTAACTATGTATATTTATTAAATATATATATATATTTAATACATATATTTAATTTTTAGTGATATAATTTTCTAAATTAATTAAGTAGAAAGAAATAATTTTTCAAAGATCAAGTCTTTTGTCTACTTATTAGTTCTAAATTATATGGTAACAATATATTTGCCATATAATCCAATGTATGAATAATATTCATAAAGCTAACAGTAATTAATATAGATTGTAAATTTTTACTACTAACCCTACTGTTTACTATTAAGGTAATAATTACTAATTTAGGTTTTATAATTAAAGGTAATAAAATAAAATGTATTAAATTCTAGCATAATATTAAAAAAAAAATTGTGGTGAAAAATGTATTTCAATTTTTCAACTTTATAATTAAGAGTCAAAAATGCAAGCATGATACTAAAAATAGGACAATGAAAGAAACCGGGTTTTTATTACCTATGTTGACATTGGAAATGTTAAATAATATTTTGTTTCTGTAATAAAAGAGCCAAAAATTTAAACACGCAACTTAAAAATAAAAAACAGTATTTATTTTGTAATTATGGAAATTAGTTTGTAATATGTTAATTTTGAAGCTGTGGTGTATAAACTATGAAATATAAAGTTCTGAAAATCTAATAGCTAGTGTTTTTGACAAGGCCTACACAGAAAAACATATTCTTGTATTGGGGAAACCTATAGCTAAGAAAAAATTGTTAATTTAATATAAGTATCTACTCAAAAATATCCTTTTATTAATTATTGGCAATCAACTAACTTTTTAGGATTTATACTTAAAGAAAACATTAAAAAAAATTATTTTACGGAATGCGTCACCTCAATAATATTCTTCTATAATCAAATTGTTATACTGCACTCATATTATAATGGATTTTTTTTATTGACATCATATTAAAGCCAATCTAATGATTCAAATTTTTCATTGAATAAGTTATGTTTTTAAGAAAGTTTACTATTAAAACTTAATCATAAAATTCTCTATTTTGGCAACCAAGTTACTTCAAATTTATTAATTGTCTTATTCTTTATTGGGTCAGATTAATGCCAAGGATAGATATAACATTTTGCATTTAATAACGCGTAAATGTATTTCCAAGTGTCTATAAACTTATACTTCGGAAGACAAGTTTCGAATTTTCGTTATCTTTTAAATAACTCTATTAAGGATCTCTGACGAAACTTTTACTTAGATTTTTAAAAATCAAGGTAGTATGTTAACTGAAATGAATATCATCATTTTTGTGAACTTATTTCATGTCGAATCAAAAAAAAAAATGTAGTTAGTAGATGAGTTAACATGCTTAGAAGATGACTAATAACAGGGCACGCGTCGAAACATTTGGATCAATGGTTTAGTTCAATAACTGAAGTTATGAAAGTAGAAACCAAGTCTAGAGGAAGGCCTTGAATGTGTATTAGCCAAATGATTAATGATACAAGTCATTTTTTATAGATAGGAAATATGGAGGATAGAAGAAAAAATAATACATTTGTCAATAATCATTCTTTTTTGGATTGAAAATCTAAATTTATCTACTTTTTAGAAGCTAGACTTCCAAAATATAAGTTTTTAGATGTTTGGCAATACATTTACGTATTATTACATGTAAGATGTTTTATCTACCCTAGGCATTAATCTGACCCAGTAAGGAGTAAGACAATAAATTTTAAGTAACTTGGTTGCCAAAATAGAGAATGTAATGATGAAGTTCTAATACTCTAATAAACTTAAGTTTTAAGGATATAGATTTTTATAAAATAACTTTTCAATGAAAATATTTAAAATACCTAATTTGTATAGCCTATAGCCTTAAGTATAACCTATATACAAGCAAATAATGTTCTTTGGACGATATACTATTAGGAATGTATAAGTGAAATAGGCAATTCCTTAAATAAAGGTAAGACACAATAAACAGTCAATAATAAGAATAAACAGTGCCTTTTTTTATTTATTCACATTTATTTTTTACTACTCTTAGTACCAGAGCTAGAAACAGATGATTGAGAAAGTGTTCGTTTACGAGACTGTTCTGCTCGTTTCTTTGCCAACTTTTCCTTTTGCCTGTGTGCTAAAAGCTTAGCATATTCTGCAGCTTGTTCTTTACGTTTCAAGCAACGTTTCTTTTTCAATGCTAACTTATGACGTTTGCGCTAAAAAAAAAAAATTAGATTAGTAGATATTATAACAAATAGTTAAGTTATAGCTTGAAACACATTAGTAACTAATTATCACCTGCAAGCGAACTGGAGTTATAAGACGCTGAATTTTAGGAGCTTTAAAATATTGTTTAGTTTTTCCTTCCTTAATTGGCAAAGGTCTCTTGATCACATATTTACGAACATCATCCTCTTTTTGTAAATTAAATAATTTACGAATTTTACTAGCACGCTTAGGCCCCAAGCGACGTGGAACATTAGTGTCAGTTAAACCAGCAATATCCTATAAGTTTATTTAATTATTAACAGTTAATAATAGAATATTTACTTGGATAAATAAAAATATATTAATAGGGTGCATGGGATTATCAATGGGTTATTTAGTCGCTACCTAGAGCTGATATAGCTGCACTCTTTTTGTTGTTAGTTCCCAGATGGGTGATCATATGGGAACTTAAACAGTAACACATACCTTGCTCCATTATTAGCAGTCTCAGTCATAAAAAGGTTTACAGCTAATGTAAACCTTTTTTTGTCAAATTACAAGATACATACCACACCAAATAGTTAAAATAGAGATCAAGGAGATGATGACCAATTATAACAAAACATTATGACCTGTGTTGAATTGATTATATAGCAAATTACTATGTGTACAGTTTTCTGTTTAATAAGGAGTACTCAAAATTTTCATAGAAACATGTATTCATCAAATGTACTATATTCCTTATGAGGAATAACATTTAAACACATTTTTGAAGTTATTTTTTTAAATAATTTATTTAGAGTAATAAGTAATTACTTATATACATAAATAAATATCAAAAGAATATTCATAATATGCCGCTTATACACTATCAATGATTAAAAGTAATCACTCATAAAACTTTAAGCGAGATTTAATTTACCGACATTCCGATGCCAAAACATTATTTAAGTAAAATGAGTAAGCAGGAAAATGTCGGAATTTATCTTATGCTATTAAAGTAAATTCTATAGTAAATTAAACATGAAAAATAAAACACACCATATAATATATTGTTTGTATATATACAATAGTCAAAATTAATCACTTAGGGAAATTAAAGTTATAATTATCTACCAACATTCCATTGCACTATTTCAATGAAATAAATAGGCATGATAAATATTACATAATAAAATTGTTTTTTTTATTTTTAATTAAGTTAACTGATATTTTTAATAAATTTAATAATAAATAAAATTCAATACACTTAATTTTCTTTTCACATTAAAATTCATCATAATAAATAGATTAATTAAAGTAATACCTGTTCTCCTTTTTTGACAACTACCAGAGAAAGAACACTAAGATTTGCATCAACAATGCAACCACGAACTGACTTCCTTTTACGTTCACCATCTCGTCGTGGACGATAGCAGGAGTGTCCTTTAGATAACAATAAACGCACACGCCCAGTAGATAATACACCTTGTTTCATGGGAAATCCTTGTTTGTCATTGCCGCCAGATATTTTCAAAATGTATCCTTTCCACTCATCTCCTAAGAGATCAGCTTCAACTTCAGTGCCAATACGTTTTTCATAAAAGATACGCAATTTATGTTCATCGACAACTTCAAAAAGTTTTTGAGAACCTGTTGCTGGATAAGAAACGTTCAACTGCAAGAAAAATGTATAGACAATTATAATAAATTTAGATAATTGAAAATTATTAACTTAAAAAAGTAAAGTTACAGATTGATTAAAAATGATAATGAGATATGAAACATAATAGGACTTCATCAAATGCTTTCTTCTAAAATAATGAGTTTAGAAACTTCTAACAATACAATTTTAAAATAAACATTTAATTGATTTTTTAAATATAAATCAGTTTATTAACGACATAATATATGTTAACAAAATAAGTACTGCAATTAATCTCAATATGATTAAAAACTTTAATAAACAAGAATTAATAGCAAGAAACAGAAATACAATTTTTAATCTGTAACTTAAATTTATTTTCATCAGGCATAAAAGTAACTGCCATATATAGAAATATAAATAGTTATAATCTAATTTAATTTAAAAGGTAGTAATAAGCTGTTTATGGAGACCACTATGAATACATAGTATAAAAATATTTATCGGAACTTTATCCATTCACATCCGAAAAAATATTGCAATAACAACTAATTTATATGAACTTAAAAAAATTAAATCTTGTATCAAATAAACTTTACCTTCATATTGCATTAATAATTTCCAAATGCTAAAAAGAACTTAACATTCACGACACATTTTATAATCCGAGAACACTTAACTAAGAGAATGTACACAAAATAAATTGGAAAACGAGTCCAGTATAATATGTTAACAAATACCCGAAAAATTAAGGTTAGAAATCAGTATAGCCAACAATTCATTTGTCGTTTTCAGAATTTTTGATATGGAAGTATATTTATATGATAAGAATTTCATTTAATTTTGAATAACTACATTGCAAAAATAATTAACTAGTGAGCATGACTAGAGTTTTACCATAATAAAATAAATACTACACAAAATAGTTTAAACATAGTTATTAGTTACTTAGAACTGAAAATTAAATTGCCACCACCAGAAACGTTATATTTGTATGCTGTCCAAGTAGGTATTTTTGTAAAATATAAAAAAAAAATGAACATAAATGTCAATTATGACTGTAAATATTCACTACATATAAAATCTATGTGAATAGTCTTAAATGAACTATAAAATTTAAAATGTAATCATTAATGTTAATTACTTAAATATATATTAATATTTCTTCCCTAAGATTACTCAGTTATAAATATATAATCAATAAAAAAACGGCAGCATAGCGGCGTGGTCGCGGGACAGTATAGACATGGGATAATTGGAACAAGTATAGATAATGGTAATTCAAATTACTAAATAATAATCAAACTATTAAACAATGAAAATAAAAATTTTTCTTTATTTATACACCTTTTAAAAGAACCCAGCACAAGGGGGTCGCGGCACAGTGGTGACGTGGCATAGTTGGGTCAAGTATAATGATATCTGACAGTGATTAAAATCACTATCATAAAAAACGCTTCGATGCAAATCTTTAGATAGAGTTTAATTTTTAAAAACTTGATTGATTATTCCAAAAGCTACATGATCTGCTATTTCTTTATTTATACCCTGATTAAGATAAAGTATGTCGAATAAAAGAGAGATATAAATATTATTTCTCATAAAAATTGTATTGATGTAAAATGTAAAAAATAAAATCTAGTATTTTAACACAAAAATAGCATTCGGTAGTCATTTTCACCATGAAGACAAAATAAAGTCCGAAATTTTTTTTTCCATCATAATGTACATTACATTAGCTTTAATTTAAGATATATATAAAAGTGTCAGACTTTCCGGAATACTTTCAAAAGTTAAGTTGAAAAAATTAATTTTTAGTGAAAAAGTTGTCATTTTAAATCCCCCCCTGTGGGCAGGTAAAGGGTCAAATTTATAAAATAATATACCAAATGATAGGTAAAGACATTATGTATCTATAAAAAAAAAGTGATATTAATATGTTCATTTTTAAAAAAGTTATGGCAGTTTTTAGTAAACAAATTTTGAAAATTAGCGATTTTTAAATTTGTAATTTTTTTGGAGGTTTCCCCCATTTACGGGGAACGAGTGAAATTTTTTCAATTTTTGAGGGTAATGTCTTCGACTAGATACGATTTGTGATTTTTTGACGTATCGTTGGAATAAATCCGTTCGGTGAGAGCTGAGAAAAAGTGGTAACAGACACAAAAAAAAATAAACACATCTTAGTAAAACCTATACCTTCTCAGCTTCGCATTGAAGCTAAAAAGTCAGTATATACCGATTTTGATGAACAATACGCCAAAAGATTACAAATCGTATCTAGTTTATGACATTACCCTCAAAAATTGAAAAAAAAATCACTCGTTCCCCATAAATGGGGGAAATCCCCCAAAAAATTACAATTGTTAAAATCGGAAATTTTTGACATTTTTTCAATTTTTAGCTTCGATGCGAACCTGAGAAGGTATTGGTTTTACTATG